CAAGACAAGGACACCGTATGAGTTACACAGCTTTCCGAGCTGTTTTGTAGAAACCTATCAAACATCCATAACTATAGAAACTGTGACCGAGAAAATAAATAAGTAACCTTAAAATAACGATATTTCCGTGTTGAAATTTGTCATTTTTAACCGATTGGGCGGTCGTCTAAGAAGACTCGAACTCACAAAATCTAAAGAACAAGAAGAAGAAATTGACATTTTTATTAAGGCACTTGGTATTGCAGATCTATAATATTATGTACAACTAGGATAAATTGAACCAGTAAGTATACATGTTAGTTTTGTGATATACGTTCAATACGGCATATTTTTGTACTGTTTTAGGAGACCTCGGTCAGAAGAGATAAAATGTAGATGTCAGGCCTTGGCCAGCTTAGCTTGTACATACATTAAAGCATGTATAAGGGATGTAATAACTGTGTTTGTAAACTCTTTAGGTATTTGACCTATCTAGCTATAATATATATTTTTTCTAGTACAATTTAGGGTTTATTTTTCCTTTTTTTTTAATCTACATCAAAAAATGGCACCAAACTTTAGGAGTACATCATTTTTCTCATTCGGATTTGAGAAAAAAAGATGTGGAACAACATAAGTAAGTTTTTTGTGCAATCAACTCAAGTCAAATTTCAAAATTCCCGCCATTTCAGTATTTGTTCCGGCTGCCACTATTGACGCCACCGTCGCTGTGACGTCAGCGCTATACAAACTTTCATGTTATCAATCAGGTACTCTGGTATACACAAACAAACAAAGCATCCTGGGCTGTGCATGTAGGGCATTTTATTTGAAATAAACAGTAATTACCGTAATTACATAGTCATTGTTATTGGAATCAAGATATAAAATTGCATATTATACTACCACCCTGTCATAAGTTAGGTCATCTTCCACCTTTTCAGGAAGATCTACGACTATTGGTTTATAAGATCATCCATCCAAGGCTTCAAAATAAATTTCTGTCTCATTACAACTCGTTGGAAACCCATCTAATCATTATTTAACAGTATCCAAATCATCGTCAAATAATAGGTCGTCCACCTCCATATTTCTTATTATTTCTCCCTGCTCACCCTCACCACACACTATTTTTCCAGTTTTTTTTTTAACAAAAATGTTTTTAAAATGTAAAAACAAGCCATTCTAACCTCACTTTAAACTAGCCGCGGTCCGCGGTTTTCTTATCCTAAATTACAGGCCATCGGGTGATTTGAGTGAAAAAAACCTAAAAAAACGCTTGGTGCATAAGAAAAATATTATGTAATCACGGCTAAAGTCTAATCAGAGAATTTGTGTAATGATGCATACCAGGCAAGTGCAAAATCCTTTGGTATATCGAACCGTAAGGCTTCCATATTATTCTGATGAAAATACGGGACATTTTTGTGAAGCAAATTTTTCACGTATTTATAGAAAAAATAGCGCCGCAGGCGATTTTTTTTTTCCGTACCATGCCCGTGGGACGAACCCACGGATAATACTTCTACTACTACAAGATAGCCTATCCTCATAAGGCCTGTGTAGAACAAATCTGAAGCCGCCTACCCCATCAAATCACCATTTGTGACGTAGCAGCATGTCGTTTCTCGCCTTGACGTAGGCTGTTTGCACCACAGGTTATAATTCCACGGGCTTTTGCTTTGTGCATACTTGGTTTTACTACATTAAAACAACTATTTTTTAGATCTCGTTTGCATCTTCCTATTTGCCTATTATGTCAATCAAAATTAAATAATATTTTTCATCATAAATTTAAATTCTAAACTACGACTGCTGGCGCAAACGACTCAGTTGATGACGTTGGCAATATGACGGGGATTACCAAAAACGAGGCCGATAAGCAATCCCTTGTGGTGTATATGGTCCTTGGGCCGAACCAGAGATAAATACTATATAAACTGTCGAGAATGGAATCTCAGTGTAAATTTTGTTGTCAACAAAATTGAGCCAAGCCAGCGCCATCTACCATATCGGAAAATCACTATTTACTGGTTTTGCATCGATGCTACAGACACCTACTTTACATATGACTTTTTATGATAGATGGCGCCCTGTTCGCATTACTGTCGGTTTGTTCAAATTTGTTTATTCTAGACTTTGGGGCATTAACGTTTGCTTAAATCAATTGATAATTTGTTAATTAGATCAAAAGACAGTTTCTTTATCGATGGTTAAGGGTATCCTTAACATATTTATTCAAAGTTCTGATTGATGTTTAATTGAACCTGTCATTTATCTAATCAACAAAGATAAAAATAGATCTTCCAATCTATAAAGTTTGAAGTTCTTCTTGAAACACACAAAACAACTTTGAAATCACTTAAGAACACTTGACAACACAAAGAAAGATGAGATGCAAGACCGGCGAACAAAAAACCTTATGAATTATTAGTAAAATATGATCAAATGAATATTTTGGCATATTGTCATATGTTGACATGTCAGTTATCGACATCGGACGTGTTCTTGATGTGCTGGTATTTTCCAATTTTGACAATTTTGTGGTTGTCAGCGACATCTAGAAAAACGGAAAAGAGTTATTATGTGGTTTATAACTGGCAATGAGAGATCGCAGGGCCTGGGCCGAACGTAGGCCGAACTGGCCAAATTGTAAACTGTCAAATGTCAAATACTGTCGAATAACCACCACTTTGCTTGCAATATGCTGAGACTAGAGATGAGGCGAAAGAATCGATTTATTTATGACGCCGCAGAGACCGGTAATGAGACGCAAAAATCGAATTATATTAGGCTTTTTAAAATATCAGAGAATACGTAATTAGCCCTGATTAGCTAATTACGAAAATACCTAAAAATGGTGCATACAGGCATAAATCTAGTTAGATACTTGACCTAAATGATATGAATACGAGTAACAATCTTATTCGAATCACAATAATTAATTATTATCCAAGAACAGCAATTTTGACAATTTTTTTCCTTTTCCACATAATCCTTGTGTTGTGTCAAAATTTGTCCTGCATTCGAAAATAGTCTCCACTACTGGTCTCCACAGGGAACCGAAGCTGCTACAACGTTCAAGTATTTTGAAGTTTGAAGCTATCTTTGATAGTCGCAGATATACTCTCTTTATTTCTTCCCAATGTTCAACAAATAGATTTTCATCAAATTTTGCTTAAGGGACTGAAAGTACTGCTGCAGTATTGAGAAGAAAACATCGAAAAAACATCGCAAAAAAAATATCGATGTTCTCTAATAATATCGAATAAAAAAACATCGATATAAACATCGAACATCGAAATAAGAAAATCGATGTTTTTGAAACATCGAAACATCGTGCGCATCCCTAAAATAGATCCTCCGACGACAAATTTTAGCAATGGTTGGTATCAGTGCGGGCCGGGCCGGGCACTTTCCAAAATTCACCGGTTTCTCATCCAGTGCGATACCGGTTTGTTAGTTTACTTCACCAAACCATTCCAAAATTAACCCGAATGATCAGCTCTTTGAAACCGGTGAGGCACCGAATTCACCGGGAGTTTTTGTCGGTTTTTTTGATTGGAGATTTTTCGACACTATTGGCACTTTTGGTTTTGGTTTGATTTTGACGTACATTAACTGCTTGGAATGAGCACAATCGGCAGTCCTTCGTTAAATAGTTGCTCACAGATATCAGAAGGGAAAAATGTTTGTTTGTGTGTGTGCGTGAACAATTTTATCTTTATTCATCATGAACTCTACAAACTAAACACTTATCTCGTCATCCCAACTCAAATAATCTACAAAGTGGCCAAATGACTCGTCATCTAATTAGCAGTGACGCGCATGAATGGAACAGCTCAAAATGTCTATCATGTTTTTATCGAGGTTTCTTTCTTAAGGGCCAAATTATGGACTGACTGGTAAACGTCTGGTTGTTACCTAGCAGGTACTTTCTATGCCCTAGAGAATAGAAAGTACCCGCTAGGTAACAACCAGACACTTACCAGTTGGTCCATAATTTGGCCCTAAATAAAATATATTTGATTTTCCGATTTATAATGTAATATTTTTATCGAGATTTTTATTAAATCATTCAAAACACGGCAACGCTGGATTTTATGTTATACCTACCGATTTTGAGCAGTAATCTACCGATTTTCAACGCCAATTTCTCCCGATTTAGTATTTTGACGTTCGACAACACTGGTTGTGGTTTGTTAAACCGGAGCCACGTGGAAAGGGTTATGGCGTTGGTTGATAACACCTCCTGGGGCGCGTTCACAGTGGTTTTCCCTAGGTAAAACCTGAAATATTTCACTGGTTGAAAAGGATGCGCTTGGGATGACAAATCCGTGAACGACTAACGCCTGCGCCATAACGAGGTAGGATTTGATTTTGTTTTCTTTTTGTTTACATACGTTGTGTTTCGAATGTTTCGAGATGGATCCGGGAATAATATTTTTTAAAAGTACTATTGAAACTTCTTCGGATTCGTCTGATACAGAGGAAGAAGTCAGCTATGCTGTAGCACAAGCTGCATGTGCTAGCGCTAGCAGTTTATGTTCAAGCCTGAAAAAAGGCATATTGAAAGACAGGATAATTTTATGGCAACAATACGCAATTATAGCGATAAGGAGTTTCAGGAAAATTTTAGAGTTTCCAGAGAAGCTTTCAACTGGCTTCCTGGAAAACTTGAAAACCAGTTGAAGTCAGCAATGCATGGCCCAGAAAGATTACCAACAGTATTGTTTATCAAATTTCAAATATTCTTGTAAAACGCCTGCGCGACAAATGTTACCCATGTCTCAGAGTGGTTTAAAAAGTTGTACAACCGGGTAAACTTATCATGGCTCTGTGAACGGAGCAAATATTTAAACCGGGTGAATTAGGTAGATCCGTGAACGACTTAACCCTGCAAAAGACGCGCTCGGTGTGCACTCGGTGAGCGTCCGGCGTTCGACTGTGAACGCACTCCTGAATTCTCTCCTGCCCCCTGGCCCCTGCCCATACACGCTGCTGGAAATTGGAGTTGGAGTAGTCTCGTAGCGTAGCTCGAGCTCGTGTCGTCTGTCCCAGTCCTGTCTCGTCTCGTCTCGTGTCGTGTAGCAGTTTGTAGTTGCATGTTGCTTTGATTGAGTAGGTTGCTCCCAGGCAAAAAAAACTCCTAAAATATTATAAATTAATTGTAACTATAATCATGTCCTACGGTTCTCCCAGGAAAAAGCAACGGACTGAGGCTCTGGAAACCAAAGTCTCAGTGATTTTAGGGGCTCAATGGGGCGACGAAGGAAAAGGCAAGGTGGTCGATTTGCTTGCTACTAGTGCAGACATCGTTTGCCGGTGCCAGGTGAGTTTTCTTATGTAATATTTATTGCATTATGAGTATAAACGAAATACGAAAGTTTTTGAAATGTTGCCATTGCCAGACCTTTAAAAATCCCGATGTTAAATTCGTGAATGACTGTTGTAATGATTATTTTTAAATTATACAAATCACATGACTGAGATAGATTTTTTTTTTTGGGCGGGAACAGACAATTTACTTTTGCATGATTGTATTTGCCAAAGTATTTGCTTAATGTGTAATTTGTTTATGTAAAGTAGGGAACCTGAAATTTAGCCAGGTAATCAGGTAATAGTTATTTATCATTGCTCTACACTACACTAGCAGGGTCATAAAGCTTCCGGTTTTAATACAAATTAATGCACCATTGTACCATTAATAAATTGTTTCGAATGACTACTAAGCTCATCCACAAATAAAAGTGTTTCTAAGACATTCCAGTGCTAAAGATTTTTTAAAATCAATGGTACAATCTGCAGTAATTTACCAAAACGTTTCTCTGAGTGTTTCTCTGTTTCATATGAAAGTCCACCCGAGAGTCCACCTCTAATTAGAATAGAGTGTCAGAATACCTTTGGTAAGATGATTTGGTCAGCAATTTGGTCACCTGCTTAAATAACAATGTCTAAATCAAGGCCTAAATAGTAGTTATTCTGGGTTTTTTTCACAGTATTTTCATGAGAAGTTATTAAGCCTGTCTTTTGGTAAAAATCCCAAGGGAAAATTAGGTATTTTAAATGAGCCAAGACATTAAATTACATTGGTTCACTTTCGTGTTAAACACATCATTTCTTCTCCTACTGCTGTTGTTCATTATATTTCAAATATTCCTAAAAATTCAAGCAAAAGAAAACTGGCATTTACCTTTCCTTTCAACAACAGGAAAGGTGAGAGAAAAGGTAAACTGTTCGTAAGAGCCTCTCACTGTCTACTTGCTGTCTAGGTACTAAAAAAGCTATCTATGTACCTAGGATCCTAAGTTCAGTTTTATTGTCATGGTTTACAAGTAAGTATTCTGAACAACAAAGCTACTAACTGTACAGGGTGCTGCAATTTGGAGTGTTTCAACAGGAAAAACATACTTCCAGACCAGATAGAGGAAAATTGACTAAAACGTCATGGAATCGATTTTCGAGAAACGTCGATTGTCAACAACCGTATCGCGATATCTTCAATGGCACCATTGATACAGGGCGATTTCCGATTTTCCCCAATTATGAAAAATAGCTATAAGTTTTTTATTTATCAATTTTTTTTATTTCTGTAAAAACATTATGGAGACACTTTTTTGAGCACAATCCAGTGGCGGACTAAATTTTTTTCTAGATCGCTCCGATTTCGAGATATAGACCAAAGTCCGATATTTTCAAATGTAACACCCTATATATTAATAGCTCATTGGATAGCTCTGTTTTTGCTGATTTCAATGATATAAAGTTCGATAGGTTTATCTCTAACAGTTTTCGAGAAAAAAAATTATATCTGTTTTTGTCATAAGGATCAATGTGTTAGAAAAGAATTTTATATGTGTAAGGAAAATGAGGAAGGTCTCTTTCGTGGTCTCAACCCACAATTTTTTTCTGATCAAAATCGAAATTTCCTTTTTTATTTTTTTTCGGCCTAAGATGTGCCGCAGCGAGAAGGGTCAAATTAACTTAATTAATTTTTTGCTCCTCTATCCGATAGAATTTTTTTTTTTTTTTGAAATTCGATATTTGAATTTTTTCGACAATGCAAGAACTAGTACGCATTACGTGGACGGGTTAGTTTGGGCTAGTTTGCATATTTTTGGTTAGTTTCGTTGCAGTTCATTTAATACTGGTTATAAGTGTACTGGACTACTAGTTAATAACAAAGCGCGCTGTTTTTTTTCTAAATTCAATACATGCAAGGACTAATACGCAGTACGTGGACGGGTTAGTTTGGGCTAGTTTGCATATTTTTGGTTAGTTTCATTACAGTTCATTTAATACTGGTTATAAGTGTACTGGACTACTGGTAAACTGGTACACAAGTAAAAAAACAATCCGGACGAATAATAATATAATAATAATCCGAAAATTCCGGGCTAATAAAAAAAAAATATTCAACCGGAAGATCCGGGTGATCAGGGACACCCTTTAAAGCCCGGGACACATCTACATGCATTCTTCCGGTCCGACTCCGATCATACAATCAGGTTCCTTATTCTTGGAAGAGGGAGCAGCGTTCCCAGGAGAACGAGTTTTCCGCTGCTTCCCTGTTCCAAGAATAAGGACCTTGTTTGTATGATCGGAGTCGGATCGGAAGAATGCATGGCAGATGTGTCCCGGCCTTAAGCATTGTGCATGCTTACAAGATTTTACCAACTTTGTTGTTAAGTATTGTACTCAGTATTGTATCTGTTGCCAAAGGGCATTTATCAAAAACTGGCCAATACGTTTGGACATACTGATATTAACTTACTAATCGCCCATACGGAAATCCGAAAAAAGAAATATTGCCAATATAGCAGACCTCTATGTGGCAGACATCCAAAGGACCTCGCACACCTTATATGGGATTTCAGCGATCGGTCGATTTTTTCCAAATTTTGATATGTTGTAGAGTATTTAATTCTTAACAACCTTTAAATGCGACGAAATCTTGTAGGTATTACGGTCTTTGAGATATGATCGTTGAAAGCTTAACTTTTTTGTGACTTTTTGTGTTGAGAGTACCTATACGAAATACTGGTGTTTATCAGTCAAATTATTGATAGGTTCACAAAGGTGCTTTCGGGTGCCACCCTTTGAGCGATCCCGAGCTCAGAAGTACTCGGGCTACAGTTTGACGCGTTCGGTTTCAAGCGTTCGAATGCAAAACGCATGTAGTATGACAGATCACTGACAGGTGTGAAGTGTTCTAGGTGCACCCGAAAGCGGGTATAATTTACGTCACTAATGCCCGTATTACATCTGTGTATTTCTCCGTGTATTTATTCATGTAGTTCAAGGTGACAACCTAAAAACTTCAAACGCAACATAAATCAGCATTATGAAAAACAAAATAATGTTGGCACCCTGAACTACATGAATAAATACACGGAGAAATACACAGATGTAATACGGGTGTAACAAATTAATGTCAACATAGGCTAAGGCCGGGACAGCACTCGGGTCAATGTAGGCGCCAGTGCGGTCCCGGCCTTAGCACATGTTGACGTTTGTTCGTGACGTAAAATATGTGAACCTGTCAATATTTTGACTGATAAACACCAGTATTTTGTATACTCTCCATACAAAAGTCGCAAAAAAGTTCATCTTTCAACTCTCATATCTCAAAGACCGTACTACCTACAAGATTTCGTCCCATTTAAAGGTTGTTAAGAAAAAAATCCTCTACAACGTATCAAAATTTGAAAAAAATCGACTGTTCGCCGAAATCCCATATAAAGTGTGTGAGGTCCTTTGTACTTTTGCATCAGTTTATTATTCGCCCTGTATATTACTTGAGAAATACATTGCTTCCAAAAATTATTTTTTTGCCACAAGATATACAACATGAGCTGTCAAATACCAAATACCTCATTCAGAAAAAAATTATTTAAAAAAAGTTATAACTTTCAAGACAAATTTATTATAATGCTAAAAATTGCTTGTCCTGTTTTTTTTGGCGAGCAGTTTAGTTAAATTGTTCTGTGGTCGGTTTGAAAAACCTGCTTACATTGCCAGAAAAATAAAAATTGTTTTTTTTTGTGAACAAAACTGTCATCCACCTTTTCGTTTCTCAGATACAAGGTGTTTTTGAAAATGTTGCATTTTGCGACACCCCTTGTATTTCGGTTCTTCCAGAAGTGATCGAGAAGGTGACAGCAGTTTCTTATAGATCTTTCTACGTAGATTCCAGTGGCGAAGTCAGTTTTTCTCTTGAAGTGATAGTTTCTAGATTATGAACTAAACATACGTTTTTTCATCCTGTATTTTAATAGCTCATTGGATAGACCTGCTTCTGCTGATTTCAATGATATAAAGTTCGATAGGTTTATCTCTATCATGTCTGTTTTTGTCATAAGAAACAGTGTGTCAGCAAAGGAATTAGCATCTATAACAAAAAAGAAAGGCCTCTTTCTACCACACTGTCTTTTATGACAAAAACAGATAAATATTTTTTGCTCAAAAACTGTTAGAGATAAACCTATCGAATTGTATGTCATTGGAATCAGCAAAAGCGGAGCAATTTAATGCGTTTTTAATATATAGGGTGTCTCATTTGAAAAAACGTATGTTTGGTTCATAATTTACAAACTATCACTATTAGAGAAAAAGTGACTACGACACTGGAATCTAAGTAAAAATAATATCTATAAAAATCCGTTGTCACCTTCTCGATCACTTATAAGAGAACCGAGATACAAGGGATGTCCCAGAATGCAACTTTTTTAAAAACACCTTGTATCTGAAAAACAAAAAGGGCGATGACAATTCTGTTGGCGCCATCTTTCGTTTGACAAAAAAGTAGCCCACATTTGCGCAAACCGCATCCTTCTAACTACAATAGCAACCGAGTTATCCCTTATGTACAACCAAAATGGGACACACTGTACAATAATTTATTTGTTACTCCTTGGGAATCTAAATTCAATGAAACCAAGGTGTTGAAAGTCTTATTTGAGTATCACCGGTTGACACATATGTTGGAACTGTTTCGTAACTTGGGGGTCTGGCATCTTGACAGAGTATAGCAGCTGGAACAATATAAAATTGAAAACAAAAATGAAATATCACATTTATGTAAATGGGGATATTTACACACAAAATACTTGACCAAAAAATTAAATTTTTCACACCAATATTAAAAGTAATAAAGGTTTGCAAAACCCAATATACCATGCTTCAAAGAGTTATGATTCTCTCCCAGAAAATATTAAGAATATAACAGAATATAAAAAATTTGTGGAACAAATTAAATTAGGTATACATAAAGTTACATACTTATAACTACAATGTAGTTTATGTTAGTAGTTTGTATTAGTGCTTATTTTCCTTGTTTTTACTGGTCAAGGTTTTTTGCTCGTAGTAGGCGTAGTTATACTTAGAATATTTAGGTACTTACTTAATAAATGTCTTCAAAAAAAAAAAAGTTAAGTGGATCCATGGTCCATGAAGATGAAATACACTTGTTTCTGAGAAAAAATGATTCAGAACTTAAAGCTTTAAAACAGTTGGTTTGGTAATGGTTATTCACATTATCAAGATTAGAACACAATAGAGAATTCACATAAACCAGTGTCATATTATCAAGCGCGTACCCTGAAACATGATTCTCTATTTCTTATTGTGTGAATTTTTCTTATTATTCTTCTGTTTACGATTAGAATCTCTGTTCTTTTTTTACCTGGTTGTGGCCTCTAATATTATTATCTGCTATGCCATAAACTTCCCAATCCAAATTTCTTATTTTTCACTTTCCATTTGTGCAATGCCTTCCGTTTTGCTCATTTAAGTAAAGTCTAGCTGCTTGGAATTCCTGTGGAACTTCATTTCCTTTCTGTTTCTTAAATAATTCAATATTGAATCCTCACTTAAAGTTGTGGCAGTTTTCTCTATGATTTTGTTTTATCCATTCTCCCGATTTCCTTCATGAGACAATAATTAAATTTATATTACTGGAACTAAGAGTGCTTCTGTGTTTTTGATTTTCCCCAATTTAGGTATATTTTTTAGAGTTTTAGATTTAAATATTCTTATTTTCTTTTGTGCTGGTCCATCATAAGTTTTATTCCTGGCTTCCCTTCCGAAAAAGTTTCCTGCAACAACATCCTCACTGTCTTTTGTCTCTTAGTTCACCATCCTAGATTAGTGCATTATTTAATTTGTGGATGTGTTCTCAAAAATTTACAAATATCAAGAAATACCTACATTTTATCAGAAAATTATTTTATTTTCTAGGGTGGAAATAATGCAGGGCATACAATTGTCGTTGATGGGGTTGAATATGACTTCCATTTGTTGCCTAGCGGAATTATCCAGCCAAATGTTAAATCGGTTATTGGTAAGTAGACATCCACATCGTTTTTAACTTAGAATTTCATCTAAGTATATTGTTAAAAGTTAATTTAGAAATCTTTTGACAATAGATAAAAATAAAATTAGATCCTTTGTGAATTTTTGTATTGCATACAGTAGCCATATTAGGTATAACCCTGATGCAATTAGTTGGCATAAAATGTATTTTTGAAGCATATAATAATAATAGCACATTTACAAAATACTTGGGAAATTAAATTCAACTGCTTTCCTCTGGGTTTGCTTCAGTGCTTGTTCAGTAATTTTAAAATTTTAACTTTTTATTCCATTTGCTCAGTTTCTGTTGGACAAAAGTTTGCACAGTTTAAAAATAGTTAAGAGTGATCAACGTCAGTTGAGACACCTTGGTTATACAATCATCAAAATATTTAGAAGCTCGTTGCCAAGATTATTCAAATTAAAAAAAAATATATTGATATTTCAATTTTCACAAAATTACATTTGTGCATTTAGCTGCTTGACAATCATATTATTTAATTTTGTCATAATTTTTTTTTTGCTTGCAGGACAGTCGAGCGTTATATTTTGGTTTTTGTTGCAACCATTATTGTGAAACAAAACTTCCACAATAAATTGCTTGCTTTCAATATTATTTATTAAACTAACTAATTGCGGTCATGAAATTGTTTATTAAAGCCATTATTTTGTGCTGGCACGGCACAAAACGGTACCTGCCCTGTTTGCCTGATTTAAATCACTTTTTATTTTTGTAAATTGACGACATTTTCATGTTTATTAGTTTCGTCATGATATAATTTTACTGAGAATGCATATCTATTTTAGAAAATATATAGGGTGTTAACATAAAGTCGAGCATAAAGTCATTTTCGTTTTTTTTTTTCAAGAATCTTCTGGGCAGGGGCAGACACTTATAGCGCCTGCACAATTTTTGACGAAAATTGACAATATGCCATCTCTTATACAGCATTTTACTTTAGTGAAGCAATCAATAGCCTCTCCAAGTTTTCCTGAGACCCTGTTGAATTGCTTCATAACTATTTCGGGCCATTAAAGAACATTCAAGAATGCTCGTTTTATTGATTGGTTGCATTTTGCACCAAGTGGTCGCTCTTTCCCAATGTTGGTTAAGCTGAAAAAAAGCCTTTCATCATTGACTAGTGATAGATCTAGTAGAAATTATTGGTTGTATTTATTTATTTATTCAATAATTAAGTACCTTACAGAACAAATTATTCCAAATGGTACATTCACATTTTTGAAACTACGAAAATTAGTAATATTCTTACAACTCGATGTCTGTCCTTAACAATTTCATTAGCCTAGGCAATGTGTAATATTAAACGGATCGATATGTTGAAAGTGTTGAGGCGTTTTTTTTTTGCGCTCTTCCAGGCTTTGAAAACTGCACAAAAGGAGTCATGTTCTATAATTAATATTTATGTGTGGAAAGTGATGCTTAAATAATAAATATTTTAGAAATCGGGTTTGAAAGCTTTCAACGCGATTTACGTAACAGTTATGAATCGGGTATATTATAGAACAATACTCCATAATACTACGTTCAAGAGAGTTATACAAAGAATTAATAGCTTTGGTATCGTGGATATGTTTGGTATTTTTTTTGAGGAAACCCAACATTTTGCAACATTTCCAGGTAATACTATTTATATGACTGTCAAACGATAGACTGCCCTGAAAAAACACTTGCAAATCTTTACATTCTGTAAAATCTTCTAGAAGAACATCACCGACAGTATACTGGTACAAATGAGGATTCATAATCTTGAAAAATCTTAAAGTTTTACATTTTCTTATGTTCAAATTTAACAAATTATCATTGCACCAAGAAACTACCTTGTTCAGATCTGATTGTAAATCGAACGAACTATCCACAATGTTATACCTACGTCATTAATAAAAAGTAAAAATAAAATTGGGCCACTATGGGACCCTTGGGGTACTCCCAAGAGTACCATTATTTTCTTTGAAGTACTACCACCTATGCTGACCACCTGGGTTCTTTCACGTAAGTAGGATCCAAGCCAAGTGAGATAGACTCCGAAGAGTCATATTAATTCCAGTTTCTTGAGTAGCAAGGAATGACACACACTGTCGAAGGCTTTGCTAAAGTCCGCGTAGATAACTTCGACTTGCTGTTTGTTCTCGATTGCTTTCACCACAAAGTCATGAAAGACGGTGAGGTTTGTTGTTGTTGATCTTCCCTTATAAAAGCCATGTTGTTGCTTGACTATTTTTTTTTTAAGTATTGAAAACTTTTTCGATAATGATGGACTCAAATAATTTAGGGAGTGCAGAAATAATTGATATGCCTCTGTAATTAGTAATGTCAGATTTATCTCCAGACTTGAAAATAGGTATAAGTGACGATTGTTTCCAAAGAGTAGGGAAAATGCCAGTGTTGAAAGAAAGTTGAAAAATATCTCTGAGTGGTGTTGCAAGAGACCGGCAACATCTTTTAAGGAAAACATTGGGAACTCCATCAAGACCAGCTTTTTTGTTGGCATCAATACTTTGAATCTTTCTGATGATATCGCTTGCGGTAGAAGTATGTTTGCTTAAGTTAGTGATAAATTTAACCCCCGAGGCACCGGCATCCCTATTATCAAGGTTTGAATGGTCTGCAAAACATGATTGGAAATAATCAACGAAAGCATCGGCAATCGCACCAGGAGTACTGTGTATTTCGTCGCGAAATTTCATGGAGCTGGGAATTCCGGAATCCTTCTGAAGAAAATGAATATAACTTCGAAAATGCTTGATTCTCTCTGGAATCATATGTTCAGTTTTGGAGGCAAACAGCAGATAATTCAAATCACTCTGAAGCTTGCACTCTCTGTGTAGAAACGAAAAATGTTCGTAGTTTTGCTGATTTCTGTTATTCTCATATTTTTGTATGCTTTGTTTTTGTTTGCTTTTAGCTTTCGCGAGTTAGAATCAAACCAAGTAGGGTACTTATTTCCCTTAAGAATTTTAGAAGGTACCTATAGTTTAATTCTCCGTATCTTGCGTTATATCCGCAGCAGACTCGATAAACGACCAATCCGCCTCAGCAATGTATTGATTCTAGGGTTTCATCGAGACGAGAAATCTCGTCTCGAAGGCAATTTCTCGTCTCGTCTCGATCATCGAAACGAGAAATCGTCTCGATCATCGAAACGAGAAATCAACAAAATCTCGTCTCGATGTTTTTCTCGAAGACAATTTCTCGATCTCGATTCGAGATTCTCGAAATTTCGAGAGTCTCGAAAACAAAAACTGAATGTTATTAAAATATATTATATGTATATAACCATTGTATATACAATGGTTATACAATGATAGAACATATATAAGTCTGCACTAAAAGAAACGGGAAAATGTTTTCAATTTAAAAAATTCCGGTAAAATACAGAGCTATATGCTACAAAAAAATACACCGATTATTGGCCCATAAATAAAAATAGTTATTTTCCTAACAAGTGCGCAAAGTGTTACTTTTCCGCACGCAAACACAGTTATACGAACGACGCGAAGCGGAGTTCGGATACGTGTTTGCGTGCGGAAAAGACACTTTGCGCACGTGTTAGGAACAAAATTTTTCCTACGAGCTTCATATCAGGTAGGTAATAACAAAAATTTGAAAAAAAAAACGATAATTTGTTTAATTATTTTTAATTAACTTGAAGGGAACCTATGCATTTATCAAAAAATTACATAACAAAAAAAAAATAACAGAAAATCCTCGTCAGAGCTGTTCATCTTAAAGCGTTTAAATTTGATGAGAAAGTTTGTAGATTTTTGCATATAAATAGAGAACAAATCTGATGTGTCAAAGTTAATTTATAATTGGTGTTTGTATAGATGTTGGCTGATATAGAAATAGAGGAAAAATTTGTCATCATGTGTCAAAGTCGACAGGTGCACTTATTGTTGCTTGACAATTATAATTACTTTTCGGCACTCAGTGCGGATAAGGCCTGTATCCGCACTGAGTGCGGAAAAGTGTAACTTTGAGCCCGGAAATGCGTGCGGAAAAGTACTACTTTGCGCACGCTCGTAGGAAATAGTTATTTTCCTAACAAGTGCGCAAAGTGTTACTTTTCCGCACGCAAACACAGTTATACGAACGACGCGAAGCGGAGTTCGGATAAGTATTTGCGTGCGGAAAAGACACTTTGCGCACGTGTTAGGAACAACATTTTTCCTACGAGCTTCATATCAGGTAGGTAACAACAAAAATTTAAAAAAAAAACGATAATTTGTGCAATTATTTTCAATTAACTTGAAGCGAACCTATTCATTCATCAAAAAAATACATAACAGAAAAACAGAAAATTGAAATCCTCGTCAGAGCTGTTCATCTTAAAGCGTTTAAATTTGATGCAAAAGAAGTTTGTAGATTCTTGCATGTAAATGGGAACACAAATCTGACAATGTGTCAAAGTTAATTATATTCAGTGTTTGTATAGATGTTGGCTGATATAGAAACAGAGAACAAATTTGTCATCATGTGTCAAAGTCGACAGGTGCACTAATTATTGCTTGACAATTATTTTTACTTTTCGGCACTCAGTGCGGATAAGGCCCGTATCCGCACTGAGTGCGGAAAAGTGAAACTTTGAGAACTGTAATGCGTGCGGAAAAATACTACTTTGCGCACGCTCGTAGGAAAAAATATTTTTCCAAAAAGTGAAAACTTAACAAATCCTTTAAGTACCTTTTTTTACGGCGTGCGGTAATATTATTACCGCACGCTCTACCTACATAGATACGTACCTTTGATTACCTACCAGAGATAAATTACCTACCTATCACCTAAATTCTACTTGTACACTGTCAAAGGTGACAGACGCAATTTTTTTTTATTTTTTATTTTTTAAACTTATTTCGGATATTTTGTTACCGCACGCTTGTAGATAAAATACTGTATATAATGCGTATGGTAATTGGGTTATTACCGCCCTTAGAGATTGCAAACCTCGCCTCACCGGCTCGGTTTGCAAATTTCTCTCGCGTGCGGTAATAACCTAGTTACCACACTTATTATATAATATACTATTACCTAACAAATGCGGAAAGTGATCCTTTACCGCACGTGTTAGGTACAAAAATTTTCCTTCGAGCGAATAATTTTTGGAATAAAAATCTAATAAGAAGTAAAAATGCATAAAAAGTAGCAAATATTGATTGTTAAAAACAATAAATGATTTTATTTTATGGATTACGCAAATGCAAATACCTTGAATGCATGTTTTTTTTTTTAAATTTTAATACAGAATCTTTACCGCACTAGTGCGGTAATAGTATATTGTGCAACAAGTGTTGAAAAGTGCATTTCACACGCCTTACATACTATACTTTTCCTACGACTGCGAAATAACTATAACTATATTCACATTGGGATTTATTTATTTATTTTTTTGTTGAAAAATTATTATTTGAAATTATAATCAACGAACAATTTTGGTACGTACGCTGAATGCACTCAGAGTTGCTTGTAGAACAAAAATTCAATGGAAGTGTCTCGCTCGGGAGCGTGTGAAAAGTACTTTTCGCACGCTGTGCGAAATAATCGATTTTCTAGGTAAGTAAGTAGTGCGTTTTTAATAGCTTTCTAGGCAGTCGTAGGAAAAGGATTTTTACCGCACTGAAGAAAAAAGGTAAAAATTCAAGGTAAAAATAAACTGCAATTGGTGGCTGACTAGTGGACTGACTTACCGCACTAAAGGATTTTTACAGCACTGAGTGCGGTAAAGAATTTTTACCGCCCTAGTGCGGTAAAGTACTCCCTACGGGACGCAAATGAGTGCGGTAAAGGGTACTCTACCGCACGCTCGTAGGAAAATATTATTACCGCACGCTCTACCTTCAATTACCTACCAGAAATAAATTACCTACCTATCCCCTAAATTTTACTTGTCTGCTGTCAAAGGTGACACACGCAATTTTTTTTTAAATAATTTTTCAAATTTTTTTCGGATATTTTGTTACCCCGCACGCTTGTAGATAAAATACTGTATATAATACGTATGGTAATTAGGTTATTACCGACCTTAGAGATGGCAAACCTCGCCTCACCGGCTCGGTTTGCAAATTTCTCTCGCGTGCGGTAATTACCTAGTTACCACACTTATTATATAATATACTATTATTTGCAAGCACACCATTAATTATGATTAGTCATTTAATTTTTTTAATATCAAAAAAATAAAACAAACATGCCAAAATGTGTCATTCACTGTTTTGATGTTTTTACCTGACATGTTTTAATTGTTGCCAGCAAAGGTGAATAAATTAGAGTGAGGGAAATCGGTGAGGGAAGTCGAATAGGGAAATCGGTGAGGGAAATCGAAGAGGAAAGTGACACTTCCAAATTTTTGAAAAGTCAGTAATGTCAAGATTACATATATGGTTGCAAATAAAATCAAATATTATCTGAGGAAATCGTTGAAATCAAGTGAAATCATGAAACTTCACCAAATCTAATTTCTGATTTCATTATTCATATTTATATTTTAACAGCTTTGTCAATAAGATACTATTGTCTTGGATAAGAAAGCATATTTTGAATTGAATTGAATTGAATTGATTTCCATTAAAGTAATGAAAATCAGAAATCAGGTGTACAAAATACTAGGAAGCACAGATTCTAGGAAGTGTCACACCCATCGGATGGCAAAAATAACATTGGCAAAACTTTGGCGGATGATATCTACACTATTATCAATTTCTGGAAAAAATTATCAAGACATAACTATTGCAATGAATCCCGAGCTGAGTATTCTTAATGACTGGTCGTGTCAAAATAGACTACAACTAAATGTAGAATAAGCAAAATGTATGGACTTGGGCCGGTATTCTCGTTCCCGAAAACGCTCACCGCTTTCTAGTCGCTCGGCACTTTTAATGTAAATTTACATATAAAGTGCCGAGCGTTTCACAAGCGGTGAGCGTTTTCCAGAACAAGAATACCGGCCCTGGGCTCTTGAAATAACTGTAAAGCTTATGCTTAAAGTATTTACGAGATGTTTTGGATCCATAACTGTAGTTTTCTGTGCATATTGATTATATTTGTGAAAAAATAGGGAAAAAACGAGATTTCTGTGGCGAATTACATCAAATACATACAATACAAATAGCCACTTTTTAGTTACTGTTGTTCATTGTTTATTTCTTGTTTTAGGCAGAATTTGCAAAGGCTTCAAATCCAACAAAATAAAGCAATGCATATTATAATAGGTTGTGTGAAATACACCCTGATTGATGATATGTTATAATATTTATAATCATTGAATTGGTTGAAAGTGGAACAATTTATTGAAAGGGCGAACCTATATATCAAATCGAACACAATCGAATGCCAGAGTATTTGGAAAAATATTTAGAGAGGAGATCAGAGTTCCACGATTATAATTCAAGAGCTAGTCAAACTTTTTAGGTAATTGCGTAATCAATTTGTAATTTCTGTTTTTGTAATTTACCGATGTAACTAGCCTGCGCTTAATAAAGATTATTATCATTATATTATTTCATGTACAATTGCTAGGGTTTCTGAATATCGATTGCTTTTGAAGGTACTAGTTAAATTTTTCACTTGCAACCTACTATGCTTTTGAATGCTATGAATCGCAATTTATTCATTTTTGTCTTGGCCGCATCAACGTTTGTATACATGAATGCGACGCCAACTATTCCAAGGTCCTTTCACAAACATTACTTAGTAGTTTTTGAACCTTGGGGAATATCTTGGCTTTTGGTCTTGATCCTCGACTCTGAGATTTGGTATGTCCTTGAGCTCATAGTCGCTTGTTTTTGTGTAGCGCCACTGCTTGGTCTCTCCACTGTTTCATACAAGTTCTTGAAGCACCTCAATAAGACCTTGTTTTGATGGAAACATAGGTTTAATGGGTATTTTTCTAACCTGTTTCAATTTTAAAGTAGTATGTTTGTGGCAACAAGTAGTCTATTAAATCAATCATATTTTTTTACAGGTAATGGAGTAGTAATTCACTTGCCCCAACTTTTTGATGAAATCGATAAAAACGTAAAGAAAGGCATGAAGGATTGGGAAAAACGACTCATCATTTCAGACCGGTAAGAGAATATTGTCAATTTCCAGCAAAAAAAAAAAACAATTAAATACTCACTTTTTAATCAGGGCACACTTGGTATTTGATCTACACCAAGCAGTAGACGGTTTGCAGGAACAAGAAAACAACCAGAAAGGCCAGGGCTTGGGCACAACCAAAAAAGGCATTGGGCCAACCTACTCGTCAAAAGCAACCAGAAATGGAATTCGCGTGGGTGATCTTCTGGGTGATTTTGGAAAATTCACTGAAAAGTATGCAACAGTTCAACGCCATTGTTCAAATTTCCCTAATGGGGCTTGATTTTTTTAGATTCAAAGCTCTCGTGGCGATGCACCAAAGAATGTTCCCTAGCCTTAAAGTGGACATAGATGAAGAACTTGCCAGGTACGAGAAATACGCAGGAAAAATCAAACCTCTTGTATATGATACCGTTTCGTTCTTGGACAAAGCCATAAGGGAAGGCAAGAAGGTTTTGGTTGAAGGTGCAAATGCTGCCATGTTGGATATTGATTTTGGTAAAAAGAAAATTGTGTACCTGGTGATCACGAGATTATTGACTAAGCTATGGCCTCCACAGAAATTTGGAGCCTTTTTCAACTTTTAGGGATAGTCAAATATTGTTGATGCAGAATTTCCAGTTTGTGACAGTCAATAATTTTATTGTTGAATTTCAGCATCAAATTTAGTTATACTTACATCCTCCATTTAAAATTAATATCGATTTTCATGTCTAAGCTACAGCTTGATACATAATCTTGGGATCACCCATATATCCTATACTGAACTGTTACAATTTTTTTGAAAATTATAAAATTATAAGTTTATCCATTTTTTTGCTTTAAGAACATGCTCACATTTAGGACAAAGAATCTCAAATACAATGTGAAATTGTCCTTGAAACACTTTTTTTTAGTTAAGTATTAGTAAACCAACCAAAACTTTTTGTTTGAACAGGAAGTGACACTATTTTGGTAAGACTATCAGTGATGAATTGAAAATATGTATTATTAGCTTTTCTGTCAAAAGTAAGTTAAAACTTGATGAATCAAACCATTAAGTTAAAACGTACTTTTTGAACGCAATTTTCTCCAAAACTGTAACAGTTACGTATAGGACTTGGAGGAATAAAGAACAATGGAGGCCTATATTTACATTTTTGAAATTATACCTTTAGCAATATCCCTTGAAATTTAAAATCGATTTTCATGTCTAATATAGAGCTGAGCAGTAATCTCATGGCCACCCAGTATTTTCACACAAAAACTTATTATTTTTATTAGGTACATATCCTTATGTGACTTCATCAAATTGTACAGTAGGAGGTGTTTGCACAGGCCTAGGAATTTCTCCAATGAAAATTAACAAAGTTATAGGAGTAGTTAAGGCCTATACTACTAGAGTGGGCGATGGTCCGTTTCCTACCGAATTACTTAATGTAAGGCTTTAATAGAGAAAATAATGGGTTAGTTAAATGAGGTTTTTTAGGAAATTGGTGATTTAATGCAAGAACGAGGTGGCGAAATTGGGGTGACAACCAAACGGAAACGACGTTGTGGTTGGTTGGACGTGTTCCTACTTCAGTATACTAATAAAGTTAATGGATACACAGCCCTTTGTGTTACTAAATTGGATATATTAGATACTTTAAAAGAAAGTATGTACTTTATTGTATAGGAAAATTACTTATTAAATAAATATAACAATTATTTTTTTTTAGTTAAAATTGCTGTTGGTTACAAGTTAAATGGGAAAAAAATTAACTATATGCCATCAACAGCCACTGATTTAGGCAAGGTTGAAGTAAGAAACTTTTGCCAGTATTTTATGCAATTTATTATTCATTTTTATTTCTAGTGTGAGTATATTACAATGCCCGGATGGTTGGAAAGCACAGAAAACGTGCGGGAGTTTAGCGACTTGCCCGAAAATGCACAAAAGTACATTAACAAAATTGAAGAAGTTGTTGATGTTCCTAGTAAGTGACTGTTGTAATTTTTATTAACAAAGTAAAATCTATTTTTTTTTTTCAGTAAAATGGATTGGTGTTGGCAAAGGCCGTGAATCCATAATTAAAATCAATTAGGACTAATTTAGTTTTAATTTAATTTTTGTTAGCCAAGCCAATATTTTTTTTAATGCAAATGGAATAACAGTAAAACTCGGTTATCACGTACCAGATGGGATCTTGAAAATTGATAAAAACCATATATGTATATAATTACATGCCACAGATAAAATAACATAATTTTATTCCCTATACTGAAATAAAAACTATTAATTTTTTCAGTTTTCTCGTTTTAAATATCCGCACCCAGTAATTTGATACTTTTCATCTGAAGCGTTCTATGTAATAGCAAACAAAAAAACGTTATAGAAAATAGTTTTCAATAAAATGCTTCATCAGATGGGCTTGTTTTTTTTCAGGAGTGATTAAACTGTGGGTTAACTGTTGGTAGGGTACATAATAATCGTATACGTGTATACGGTATGATCGAGTTTTACTGTATAGTTAAATTTCTGATTTCATAATCAGCGCAAAATTGTTTTTCTGTACGTTTAATATTTTAGGGTTTTAAACTGTTATGTTCAATATTGAAAAAAAAATTTAAAAAAAATGCAACAGTGTATGTTTCAAAACTAGGTGAGCTCCAAAAAGAGTCTCAATAATTTTGTTGTTTGTTCTAATAGTATTATTATTTATCTGGTAAAGCTTTTAAGCATAATAATGTTTCGAATATTTTTAATAAAAGTATCCCCAAGATTATCCGCAATACTACTTACATAATTAATTGTATTTGAAAAAAATATATTTGTTACCAATTTGAAATTATGTGTTATCTATATGAAATACAATACCTAATTTTTGTTTGAATTTCTACACTTATAAAATTAGGTTATTTATAGGCATACATACCTGCTAAATTGGAAATATATTTCAGATAATTGTAAGAACCCACCTCTAAAAAATGGTACCGAGAAACATTGAGCTCTGGGAACCCTCTCCTGGTTTTCAGGTCCTAATGGACCAGGTTCTATTCTTTATTTATTTATTTGATTATTTCACCATAAAATAGATATACAATATTAAACTTGGCTTTGTGACAATATTGAATCATAATATAAAAATAATAACAATAACAACAAGCATTTAAATAAAATTAGTATGCAATCAGTCAGAATAACTTATGTAACCCAAAGCTGAGACAAAATTAACTTCACATTTTCATTGTGTATCGCACGTAGAGAGACATGAAATTTAACATTGATATTCACATATTTATTAAATCACAAAGGGATAATAGTTATTTATACACCAAGTGAGTCAAATGAATATTTATGAGCAGAGAGTTTAGCCCACGATCTGGTGAGTGGGCTAATTTCTTTGAATGAATAAACTTTTTTTTTATCCACTTGAATTTCAAGCGGCAGTAAATGACATCAAATAACCTAAATTATAAACAAACACGAGCCTTCCTATTGGTTGAAACGCCCTACCTGGGCCAGTGCGCAAGCAGGGAGGACATTTGATAGGTTGTAATAAAAATGACCAGTTTTTCATTTACTGCCGCTTGGATTTGGTTCAACTCATAGTTGTGCTTGTATGTACTCAATAAATTCGTACGCAGGATTATCCGTCGATCTTCCAGATCTATATCCAAATTGAGATGCATCCAATTTTTCAAATCTTTCCAATTATTATTTTACTGTTTAGTACTCTTGAATATTTTTGAAAATACGGATAATATGGATATCGGTCGATAGTTTTCGACATTTGTTGAGAGGCCCTTTTAAATACTATTTATTTTCAAAATGTGGGAGGTCTACGGACCAAATTAGTGGATTTGTTGAAATCTGTAGCAAGTTGCGCCTATGACATAATAGTTTTGGTTGAAAGTAATTTAAATGATCACTTCAGTGATAGTGAAATTAAATTTGAAGAGTTTTGTGTCTATAGAAGTGATCGTAATTCTTTCACAAGCAAGAAGTTAAGTGGTGGAGGTGTTTTGATATTGATTAAAAAAAGTATTAAATCACTGTGCATCAAAATTGAGGAAAATCGAGTGGAGCAGATTTTTGTTCTGTGCGAGATTAATAAATTCAGGTTTATATTGGGTGGTGTATACATCCGTCCACAATCATCAAGGGATGTTTATGGCTGGCATTGTGAAGCGGTGGAGAATGTTTGGCAGCGGCATTCTGCAGGAAATATCTATATCTTGGGCGATTATAACTTACCTAATGCTGCGTGGACTAATGATGAATTTGGAGCAATTGTGCAATGCCCTCAGGGCGACCCAGCCCTTCAAGTGGCTCAGGTGTTTGGTTATCTTAGACTTTTCCAAATGAATGGCATTCCAAATGATAGAAATGTAATTTTAGATTTAGTTTTTTCTAATAGTAAAGAGGTTGTTGTCACACATGCCTCTGAGCTGCTTTTAAATGACAGTCATCATCATATTGGGTATGAGTGTGTATTATCGGTGTCCAATACAAAAGAAAGTACCAATTTAACTTATGAAGAATTTTATTACGACTTTAGAAATGCAAACTATAGGGAACTTAATAATTATTTAGCTTCTATTAATTGGCAAGAATATTTAAATATAAGCAATGATGTAAATGCCATAATAAATATTTTTTATGAGATTTTGGCCACTGGTATTGCATATTTTGTCCCAGTAAAAAAATTTTAAACTTCTACATTTCCCAAATGGTTTTCTTCTGATCTTAGAAAATTGAATTGCCAGAAGAGACGTGCACACTCTTTTTACATTAGTAACCGCTCAGATGATAATTATGCAAAGGTTTCAGATTTGCGTGTCAAGTGTAAGAGGCTCTCTAATATTTGTTTCTCTAATTACATGCGGGGTTTTGATGAGAGACTGAAAGTTGATCCAAAATCATTTTGGAAATTTATCAATGATAAGCGTTCCACTTATTGTCTTCCAAGCTCACTCTTTTATGGGGGGGAGAGGGCTTCAAATGGGCAGGATGTAGCCAATTTATTTGGGAAATTTTTTCAGACTGTATATGTAGCTAACCAGAACTCTCCAGTACTACCTGATTTAACATTGGATAATAACGTAAGTAGCAATATTAAGTGCTCAGAAATAAGTAAGTCTGATATTTTCGATCAGATATGCAGTCTTCCCAATAAACTTACATCAGGGCCGGACGGAGTGCCTGATTTCCTCTTGAAAGAGTCTGTTTGCACTATAGTTTTACCATTGTATATCCTTTTTAATAGATCCTTGATTAGTGCTGTGTTCCCGAATGAATGGAAAAAGAGCTATGTTGTTCCTATTTTTAAAAGTGGTCAAAGAGAAAATATTGAAAATTATCGTAGTGTTTGTATTCCATCCGCAATACCAAAGCTCTTTGACTGTCTTGTTGGCAAGCAACTGAGCTGGATGTGTAAAGGTTTAGTTTCTGTGGAGCAGCATGGCTTTTGTCAAAATAAATCCACATTGACGAACTTGGTAGGTTACCAGACAAGCATATTGCATCATATGGAGGGGCAGAAACAAGTAGACTCTATATATACAGACTTTGCTAAGGCCTTCGATAGGGTGGATCACCGGATACTCTTGCAGAAGTTAACCAAGATTGGTTTTCATTCTCATTTTGTTATGTGGATCCAGAGCTCACTGACTGATCGTATCCAACATGCTAAAGTAGGTTGTTATTTTTCTGAGTCAATCTCTGTTACATCGGGTGTCCCGCAGGGCGGCCACTGTTCTCCTCTTCTCTTTAATATTTTTGTTAATGATATAACTGATTGTTTTGTAAACAGTGAGTGTGCAAAATTTGCAGATGATTTGAAATTTTGGAGAACGGTGGAGGGCATGGTGGACCAGTTGCTTCTGCAGGAGGATCTAGATCGCTTGCCCGTGTGGTGTGTAGAAAATAAGTTATCTCTGAATGTGGATAAATGTTGCTATATTAGTTTTTCAAGGAAAGTAAATAAAATTCAAACTAGTTACTTTATTAACAATCAGTCTCTGAAGTGTGTGTCTAGAGTGAAAGATTTGGGTGTTATTTTAGACGAGAGATTATCTTTTATTGATCACATAAATTCGGTTGCAGTAAGGGCTTCGAAGATGTTGGGTTTCGTCGTGAGAAACTGTCAATGCTTCTCTGTGGGGGCTACCAGGGTTGTCTACTGCTCCTTGGTAAGGTCAACATTGGAATATTGCTCTGTGGTGTGGTCACCATATTTTCGGATTCATATGGATTCCTTGGAGAGGGTGCAACATAAATTTCTTAGAGTGTGTGCGTTTAAAAATGGCTTTGCTATGGCTGACCACGACTATAGAGCAATGGAACAACAATTGTCATTGAGTCCTCTGGGCCTTCGTAGAGATAGTTTTGGTGTAGCATTTATATACAAATTAGTACATGGGTTAATTGACTGTCCAAGTCTCCTTTCTTCAGTTAGTTTTAATGTACCCACTAGGGGACTACGGCAACACCCAACATTTCTCATACCTTTTCACCGCACAACATATGGTGAAAATAATCCTATTGACAGATATATGTCATTAATTAATAACTTAAATATTGATATATTTGATATGACCCTAGGTCAATTAAAAACGTACCTGAAGAATATGTGATATTTTTTGTATAACAGGGTCAATTCTGGTTTGTGTATTATTTGTTGTACCTAATTCTATTCTATGTTTCCATATGTTAACTACTCATTAAGTATCAAGATCAAGATATTTTTCATAATACCTACATACTTTTACTAATACTAATACCTACTTACTTAAAAGATGATTTTTGGCTGTACTTGATTTGTTTTATATTATTGTGTAGTATTAATTTTTATAGTTAAATAATATTTATTATTTATGTAGTTATAGTTATAATATAGTATCTAACTTATGCTTTATTCTTTATATTTTTTCTTAAATTGTATTTTAACAGTTAATGGGGTTTTCCCGTAAATAAATAAATAAATTAATAAATAAATAAATACAGGAACCACGGTAGCTAGTTTTAAGCTGGATGGAAATACTCCCTCAGAGATTGATTTATCCACCAACACTTCTAGGGACGTTGACAGCTCAGGACAAACCCCATTCACCTCACCTGGGTATTGATTCCATTAGGACCACAAGTTGTTTTGTGTTTTAACATTTGAACAAAATTTGAAAAAAAAAATTACCAAAGTGGTTTGAGATTTCTTTACCATTTGTGATTAGTTTACCATCAATTTTAAGGTCAATATTTTTGGGATGTTTTTCTCTGCCCAGTTTGTCCCGTAAAATATTATACAGACCTCGGAGAAATGTTTTCATTATGGTCTCGAGATTACTAGTATAAATCTCTTGACAGTAATGTAATACTACTACAATACTATCACTTTACTTCACTGGTTGGTAGTCATTACCATTTTCAGCTAGATTTCCCATTAAGGTGTTTGTGTTTTCCTGGTATGCTAACTCTCATGGTTGTGGCTGTTGCAGATGCAGCACAGTGAATAAGCGTAAGGAGCTGTTCTATTCGGTCGAGATGTTCCAACGTGATAATTTTCCCAAGAATTTCAGTTGTGGTATTGGATGCCTGTTCAATAGTTTGATCCACCTTCATACTCTGTTCCTTTTTTTTTTTCGTTTAGCTCATCATTATCCTGTTGCCTATTAAAATTTGCCTGTTTGTCCAAGTTTTGGGATTGATTTTTGCGATCCTTATCTTTCTGGCTAAGATGCACGTTCAACACTCCATCATTCTTTTCAGTAATGTAACAGAAAACACCATAAAATTGAAACAGTATTATGGTAGTTCCAATAACTTATTTTATTAATAAATGGACTTAATTTATGATTATCAAGTTTTTTCATCAAACAAAATAAGTAGCCACATACATATCACTAGAAGAACAGTAGTTGTTATCATAACAACTAACCCATATAGTAATTTAAAAAAAAAAATCAACGATAATGTTATCATAGGCTTACATCAAATCTATCTCTTCAACCTCAATAAATTTTAACTTACAAACCCATCACTTGATTTTATTTGTATTTCAAAAACTTCACTGAGCATTTTGAATGAACTTATTACTACTTAAACATAACTACATCAAAAAAACACCTTCAACTTTAATTCAAATAAAAAATCCATTTAGGTAGGTATTTTTTTTTGTGCCAAAATTGAAAATCATTTCTCCATAATTTTTGGGATTCCAATTTTTTTACCCAAAATATCAATAGTGGGCGGAGCGTCGATTTCTGACTCCGAACTGCTATCTGATTCTGATGAAGTTTCACCATAATAACCCAACCCTAAAAATTTTATTTATCTTATACGGACAATTTGTTTGGAAGTTAATTCTTACCTGGTAGCACTGCAACACATTTTAAAGCAGACCTATATTTGACTTCCTGGGTGGTGGTACCCTTTGAATCATTTTCTGAAATTTTTTGTTGTTTTGCACTATTTTCTGAATCATTAGATTTTTCTTTAATTGCCTGTCCTACTTCTTCATTGCTGGAGGTCATTTTTCTTTTCAAACCTTCTGATTTCTTCACAACGACTCCTGAAAACAATTTTCTAAACATGTATGCTAATTTCTAGGAAATTGTTTCATACCTTTTAATAACTTTTGTTTTGGTTTATCAGCCTTTGGCTTATTGTTAACAACAATTTCGGCTTGTAGTCTTTCTTCAATGCTTTTTTCTTGTAAAACGGCAACCCTATTTCTGAAATCTTTAAGTTCTTGCTCCTCTTCGATTTCTTTCTTTCTGTCTGCTGCTAATTTTGTGCGATCAACTAGGTCCAAGAATTCGACTTCATCATCATCCAGAGTTTTGATCATGTTCTCTAAAGAAGACAAACATATACTTATGAGGAAATAGTTATTTTTTCAACAACTACACAAAGTTGTACTTTTCTGCAAGCCATTGTTGTTGAAAGAATGACGTGTAGCAGAGTTCGTTCATGTAATTGAATGCGATGCGAAAATACACTTTCTGCTAGAGCTATTAACCTTTTTTTATTAACAAAGAAATATTAATTAGGTATATTGAAAACACAGTACCTATTTATTGTGATATGAGTCGCAAAATTTATCTGAAAATTATTATCATTTATGCGAGAATTTATATTAAATAAGCACTTAAAGCTGCTTTGGGAGATTGATAGCTGATGCCAATACATTTTTTGGAGTACTGGAAGAAGCTAAAATGGGTACAGTAGAGTCAGAGATGTAACATTTCTCTAACTCCTCATAAGTTTTACTGTTTTACATTACATTTTCTAAAGTGCCTTCAGAAGTGCTAGTTTGATTCAAGAAATATTTTGAAAACAACATCTCATTTGACAATAATTCTGCTTTAATTTTGTGGATACCTCCAGAACGTCCTTCCGCAACAGATCTGGATTTTCAGTCTCCCATTCTGGTAATCCCTATAAGTTTATTGGAACCTGCTAATATGGTAGCTTACAATCAATAGAGACTATGACCTGTAATATGTTGTGGACTTGGAAAATCATGTCAAGATGATAAAATTCTTGATTCGCCGATTTGAACATCACAAACGTCTTTTCATGAGCTTATTTGTGTCCTCGAATATCCCGACACAAATAATCCCCGAATATTCCTTGATCCGTAGTTTTGTCGGTAGTTACTGTAGAGTGTAGATCGGTGTTTCAGCATGGAGGTACATTGATTGTAAACAATAATTTTTTAAACCAATTTATAAAAATTAATAAATTTGATCAGCTCCTGGAAGAAAAAAATCTTTGAATTTCCGTTGATATATTGCGGAGGTTGGAATTTCTATATTTTGTGTTTGTACAGATCCCCACGATGTTTCAGGATTACCTAATACTTTTACCTCGTCCTTCGGAGCCGTGGTGTTGTAACGCGTTTCGTGACAGGTAAAAGTATTATCTGGTAATCCTGAAATCTCTTGTGGTATTACATTCGATAATTTGTTCTTTGTTTCCTTTTTCAATAGATATAGATCAATATAAAGACAAGTAAGCAAAGCAAGTGTATTATAGGGTCAGGCTTTCAGAAAGTAACAATAGTCAGTTGAGGCCTGGCGAATTGTCAATGAATTGAGAGGCAAATACAACTTGAATATGGCTGACTCTAGTTTATCATCTAAAAAGCTTAACACTTATTACTGCTGAATTGCTTCCAGGATTTCTAATCAGTTATCCCGCTCTCATGATTTTGAACATTTTTTAAGGAATGTTCATAATCCTAATACATTCTTTATGATCCCCACATATGTAGCTGAGCTTCGGAGAATCTTTTCAGAGATTAGGAAGTCAAATGGGATGGTTTGCCTATCAAAATACTTCATGGTCTTCCTGATGATGCTCTGTTAATTCTTGACGTTATCTGAGAGTATAGACCTTTCATTTGAGAGAGGCGAATTCCCTTCTTCTCTGAAATTGGCAATAGCTGTTCCTTTTTATAAGGGAGGAGATGCTGAGGAGCCAGCAAATTACCGTTCCATCGCGCTACTTCGCACATTGGCAAAAGTTATTGAAAACATAGTTAACAAAGGTATGACAGCATTCATTAAACATAATAAAGTGGTGAACAGAGCTCAATTCAGTTTAAGGCTGGATTGAAAACTGGAGACGCTATTTTTTCATTGTTGGAATCACTCTAGCTTAGATTGAATAACCACGATTCAGCATAAATAATCTTTCATTAAGTGTTAAAAAACATGCCCAATGTCATTTAAATGTAATTTACATGGTATTTCACTTGATAATTCTAATGTTACCAAGTTGAATGAAAACAAATTTCTGGGTATCTAATATATTGATGACAGCTTGAACTTTGGATGCCCATGTTGTTTCAGTAGGAAGTTGGCATCTGGATGTTATAGACTGAGAACTATTAGTGCCCAACTTGCTAGGTCAACGGCACGTAAAACTTTCTTCACCTTGATTGAGTCCCATTTGTGATATGTTGCGTGCTTCTAAGCAGTTCTTTAATAGCGTATTTATTTTGAAGAAGAGGGCAGTGAGATACATAATCCGAGTAAAATTTAAAAGACTTATTTCTGTCGGAGGGAATTTTGATTTTGCCAAGTATTTTTATATTGGAAACTGTTTGTCTTGTGCAGAAAAAGTATAAGCAGGGTGTTGCTGCCCTTTTAGAACGGAGTACTCAGCTTTCCCATTTGCTTGCCTTTTTTATACCTAACAGTGCGCAGATAGGTAGTAGGAGATAGGTATCTCAGGAGCCTTCTCTTTTTACTTTCTACATAAAAACTAATAGAGGCTAATACCTAAAAAAACCAACCTGGTCTGTCATTTGAAGAAGTTTTAGGAAGGCTGGCATTGCTGGGAATGATGAGATTAACCTAAAAAGTATACTCAATGCGAGCCCAGGCAGTTAGAAGCTACTACAAGCTATATTCCCCTAGGAAGCAAGCCAAGAAATCTAGATAGGTAATCCATGGTGACTGATATAAATAGATTATAGAAAAAGACAACAAACAACTATACATTTCTGTGTGTACTTTCACGAAGTCAAAATCTTTTTCCATATTGTTGAAGAATCTTTATTAAATTTATGTTAGCATGTAATTAATTATTAATTAACGTTGGTTTAACTAAATTTGGCATCTTATGGTTGGTGACAATATTTTTGGATTTGAAGATTATTATTCGCACGCTTAGCATTGATTATTTTTGCACAGGTTTGAATAGTAAAACTCACATGCGTCACCTGCGTGAACATGTATCTTTTCGGTACTACATATGGTGCCTAAAAATAGTGGAACCATTGCGATTGAACCCATCCGACAAAGCACTAGAGAGTACCGTCGCGTGTGAAGGGCATGCAACTTCTCTTACCCTTACCTTTTGTTTTTAACTTTAATTTGTGTTGACAAATCAACTTTCGGCTTTCGGATTTTTCGAAATTATTGAAAAGACTTTAAAAACTCAACTATTGTGCTAAGTGGACTGAATAACCCAAGTGAGTGTTCCAGAGGGCCCTCTTATTCAAGAATTTAGTGATACGCTTCAAGATAGGTGAGCGAGTTCTTATTAAAATCAAATTTTGTGCATATCGCGATCAATTTGATTACGCCAATTAAACAGTCCACTTAATATTTGCATATTTCCTGCACACATATCTATTTCTTGAATGGTATTACACTTACTTAGTTTGTGAGCTTCTTCATATTCCAGATCTTTTTTCTGTTTTTGTTCCTGAAGCCTATCAAACAAACTTCTGTTATCATAGGGTTCCTCAGGCCTCTCTAAAAAAATAAAGATGATAAAATAGTTTAGTGAGCTTAAAACTTAAAAGAAAAAGAGTAAACAATTTATACAATAATACTTCCGAGGGGTTATTCACAACGGGATATCCTGTGTACACCCTGCAAGAGATATCCAAAACTCTTCAGGGAAATCTTGGGAGGTTTTTGTGATAGTTTTTGGAGAAAAGTTCTTTTTGGTTTTCACTTCTGTATCTAAGAATAATTGTTTGATTAATAATATTTGACCAAGTAAGTATTTGACTATTTTTCCTTAGGATTTTTATTTTGTTTGATATAGATAAGAAAAATGTGAATATTCTGAGATTTATTATTAATTGTTAATCTTAACTTTAGTTGTCTTTGAATTTATTTTTAGAATTTGTATGATTTTGCTCATATTTTTTCTCAGCCTCAGATCCAGAGGAAGATTTGAGAAGAAGCTTCATTGGCTCAAAAATCTTGAAGCCCAGTTTTGGATTTCTCTGATCCAGAGCGGTGTAGTGGAGTAGTTTTTTTCTCTTTACTACTCTCATTTTTTATTGGAATTGTTGTCTATTTGAGACCAATAAATAATGAACATTCAAAGCAAATTCGAGCGCCTGGAATAGGAAAATTACTTACTTAGCTTGACAAACTCAAAATTCTCCGAGAAATTCTCTATTTATTTATTGCTATTAATATAAACTTTAGTTTTCTTTGAATTCATTTTCAGATTCTGTGATTTGCCTATATACAATGACCTCTTATATGTAGGTATTTCCAGATATCTTGGATTCCTCATCGGATTCTAAGCAAAGTCATGTGTATTTTAAATGGAAAAGATTTTGAAGATTCTAGAGAAAAAATCTTCAAGAAAAAGTTTCAGATGCTATAGGCTCATCTTATTTACAATTATTTTGATTTTATCAAATTTAGAGCTAAAATACCGAGTAAAATACAGCTTAGTTGACGAACACAGAGATTTTGAGCATTTCAACTATCAGATTTTTTTGAGCCTCAAATTTAGAAAGACTTGAGAGGAAGCTTCATTGGCTCAGAACTTTTGAAGTCAAGTTTTGAATTCCTCAGATCCAGACCAAGAATGTTGGTGTGGTGGAGTAGTTTTTTTTCTCTCTACTACTTTGATTTTTCACTCCAAATGTTGCCTATTTCAGACTACCAAATTATGAACATTTAAAACAAATTCAAGAGCCCGGAATAGGAAAATTATTTTAATAATTATTTGGCTTATTGTTGGTACCCTGGAAAGTGCTTTACATAATTTATTGCTTGGAATAATCCGAGGAATAATCCTGATTGATATTTGTCAATTTGTGGTCACTACGGCAGGAATGAGTTTTTTTTATAAAAAAATTTCCAAATTAAGGTAGTTGATAAATATTTCTGTATAAATGGGTTTTTGGCAAAAAGCCAACTGAGCTTTTGTCAATATTGATGGTGGGTTTTTGTGTATGCTAACCCTGGGGGAGATTCAGGAAAATTTTAAAGAAATCTGGGAAAATTTGGAGAAATCTGAGATCTATGGGAGAAGTAAGGGATATCTGGGAAAATCTGAGAGAAATCTTACTAAGTAAGACCGTACGAGCGTTCAGAATTTAATTTTCTATTGACTGAGAATATTTAAGAAGATATCATGTTACCAGGTTTTATACTGAAATAAAAATATCATACCAAATAGGTATTGTAATAAATATAGCTTTGATATTATCAGGAAAGTAATAGATCAAGAGAAAATGCACATGTTGTGTTGAGGAGAAGCCCTCGGAAGTTGTGTTCTGGCTGTGCACTTATGCTGATATTGTATGAAATGGAAATGCCTGAAAAATTAGGAAGATTTAGCGAAATCTCAGGAGATTTACGTAAAGAAATCTGAAAAAATCTAAGGGGGATCCCGGGTAATCTGGGGAAATTTGTGGATATCTTTTGCATAAAGACATCTCTGTACACTTGAATAGGTTGTGACTACCCCTCGAATACTTCCAACACTCACCAACTGGATCTGATGGTTTCCTCACTTTCTCCCATTCTTCCTGGCGTTTCTTACGAACCTCAGCAGCTTCAGTTTCGGAAATAAACTTGGAACTCATTGTTTATCCAATTCAACTGGAAATTATTAAAAATGTTTCACGAATCACAGAAACATGATTTTTTATTTGAAAAAAATTATTAATCAAATTGAACAACATACAACTTTTTAAACAAGAAACAGCTGATTGTGTCTGTCGACTGTCTTTTCCACTCTTCGTGCCGCTTCGTGCATTTCAAAGGTACGTTCGAAAACCACCGGCGTTATCCAGTCAGCAGTCAGCAATTCCCTGAGCTGCTTTCAGGTGCCACCCTTTGAGCGCTCCCGAGTTACTCCAAAGTACTCCGGCTACTGTTTGACCATTGTGTTTGACCCGTTCGGCTTTAAGCGTTCGAGTGCAAAACGCATGGTGTGAAGTGTTCTAGAAGCACCCGAAAGCGCCTCTCTAGAAAATGAAGATATCGGGTCTTCAAAAAAAAAAACAATCAAAGATTGCTATGGTTTTTGAAAAGTATGTCTTAGCAATATTTTTCTTTAATTTTAGCCGCTTTCCAGCTGTGTGCTTCAAGCACGGTGCAGAACAGTGTTCTGTGTTTGAAACGCAAAAGTTAGCAGCTTTTAAAGCGTAGTACGGCGGGAACACGAACATGCGCTTGAAGCATTTGCGCGCGCAAAAGCTCGATTGCGTGCTCAAAATGGTCAGCCAGTGTTGCCACAGCTGGCCCCTTATGGCCAGATCTGGCCCTTTCTAAGACGGAGTGGCCCGTTGGCCACTACAGTGACTTTATTACCACAGTGGCGACAATTGCTGTCTTATTTTTGATTGGTTCTAAAATCCCATAGGTTTATATTGAAAACGCCGCCATCTTGTTCCCAACCTCTTGTTACTTTTAAATATGAATATATGGGATTTAGGTGAACATCCATCATAAATCATGGAAAACAACGTATTTGATGGACCTAATAATGGTTATCAAATACGTCGATCTCAATTTTTTATGATAGATGTCCATTTAAATCCTATATATTATTATTTAAAAGTAACAAGAGTTTGGGAACAAGATGGCGGCGGGACCTCTATTATCGCCGCTGTATATAAAAGTTTATTTAGCCACTGTATTGGCCACTATTTTCGAATCTGGCCCCTTTCTCCATAACAAGCCAAATCATAATTTTTTCATGCAAAATAAACGTTTTTGGGCGTGGCAACCTGAGGCGGGCTTTCTCTCTTTTTTTTTTTTGTTTAAAATGAGTTTGCCCGAAATTCTGAAGTCTGGCCCCATTTAAAAATATAATCTAAATCTGGCAAGAAATTTTCAGAGCTTGTGGCAACACTGTGGTCAACGGAAAGCGGCTTCTGTCAATGAACTTTCATGTCAAAATGTCATGTCAGAAACCGTGACCGGTGCGATTTTCGAAATCATTCGAGTACATTTCGTACACGAAATTTGACTGACAGCAATGTAAATTAAATGGGGAGCAGACAAATTTCGTGTACGAAATGTACTCGAATGGTCTCGAAAATCGCACCCCTGCTGGGCCCGATTACGAACGTCCGATACGAACCGAATCCTCCATCTTTTTTCCGAAAAGAGGTTATGAACGTACTCGAAGCGAGACAACTCGGATCGAGAACCATTCCGTAGCTTCCGACAACAGCTGTTGACGGAATCGTTTTCTGTCCTTTTTGCACACACACTCGTTTTGGTTTTGTTCTTGTTTTTCTTGTTGTTCCATTGGATATTGGGGTGCGCTATGCTTCGTATTGTTTTTCTTGTGTTTTTATCTATGGTTTTTATTAAAATATAATTCGTACATACATGCGAGCATCCACCCTAGATAGACGAGTCGGGCCCATGGCCATAAGACATTACGTTCGCCAAAATAACGATAATCGAGTACTGCGACTGACGTCACATGCCATCAGTCGCAGTCCTCGACCGGACTGTTTCTATTTAAAACAGAGCATTTCAGTTAGCTTTAAAAATCGTTGTGTCCAATTTTATTTATTTATTTTTAACTTTATTTCAGATTACAGTAACATGTAACATACACATATACACATAAACCATGAAATGAAATAGCGTTACAAAAAAGACGTTACACCATATAATGCTATACTCAGAACAATAACATTCTTTCCAGTTATATGTGTATTTACACAGCCCTCTACACTTACAAGCCATGAAGTTGGAAATAACGGCAACGTCGCCAATGGTGCTATTTTGCTATTGAGGTTATATGTTTCTGTGTATTGTTTTCATTGTTTATTGCTAGAGTGAGGTGCATTTTCAAACGAAAAAGTGGCTAGAAACACCAATATATTGTTTACTTACTGTTTATATTTGGTTCATACCTGTTATGCCATTATTAGTTGTGTTTTGATTGTGAATTTATAGCAAATACTGCAATCGGTACAGGAGCAAAAATTAAGGTGAGTTAAGGTAAAAGCAAATAAAAACAATATAATATTTTTTTCCACTTTGCAAAGTGCAAGAGCACATGTATAGGTCTCGATATTATTATTATCTAAGATATTTAAACTTGTTCCAGATGCCAAGAAACTGCTGTGTGCCGAGGTGCAAATCCAACTATAGGAGTTCCCTGAAGACTGAGGAACTGCAAACAACATTTTCATTTCCAAAAACTTCCGAATTACAGAAATTATGGCTAAAAGCTATACACCGAGATAATTATACGGTAACAAAAAATTCATATTAGCAGGAAAATTTCAAACGGACAATTTGGAAAAGAGGTTTGGAAGATATAGAAATTTGTCTGGTTGTAACTATAATGTTTCATACTGCCAAATTTTAGAATCGGAGAAAAAAATTAGACTTCAAAACTTATTAAAATCTTGTAACCTAGAACATGATTTAAATTATATAATAGCTATTTATACAATAAGTTACGAAATGAGCGTCTTTTAGGCACGCGACGTGAAAATTGTCCAACGAGGCAAAGCCGAGTTGGACAACACGTCGAGTGACTAAAAGACATCGTTTCGTAACGTATTGTATACAATATTTTTTCTACTGGCATTTTATAATAAAAAAATACAATTTTATTTCATGTGAATAAGTCGATTACACCCAAAATCTTTGTTACCTGCTTTTACTTGCCCTGACACTTTTCATGCGATTTTCTTTTGAAAATTCGACATCAATAATTAAAATCCTAGAAAGTAGGTAATAACACAAAGTTCTGTTTTGAGTAACCCCAACGTTCAATTCAGTAATTCCATTTTCAATATTCATAATAAATACAAAACAAAATTCAAATATGTGTTTAGTGTGTTTTTTATTTCTGAATAATGAATGACACTTTTAGGCACTAGTGCTTAAAAATTACTTTTACGCACTCATAAGTCACTTTTACGCATTCAAAAGTCACTTTTACGCACTGAGTGCCTAAAAGTAACTTTCACGCACTCAGTGCCTAAAAGAATGTCGTTTCAAAACTGAAATGACAATCGAAAAGTTGCTATTATGAAACGTCAGTAGAAAAAAAATATTTTGCCTTTGCCTAGGGAAAATTATGATGTAAGTTTGCAGGAAATTAACAATTTCAAATTTGTTCTGCATAGTGATTATTTAAAATTGTACAGTAATTTTGATGACTCTGTGCAGGAATACATCTGTGGATACGTGGCTCGATCAGTTTTGAAGAATAATAAATGTGATAAATGTCAAAGTTTAGTAGTTCTGGCAAAAGGCATCCAGACGGATCATACATATTTTAATTCTCTGCAGAGAGGGGGTCTCTGTATTGCCACTCAAGAAACCAAGTTTATTTATTTTCATCTTTGTGCTATCTTCGAGTATATAATTAATAACAAAGATCTTGAAAGTATGTTCCTGAAAACAAATGATCATCATAATTTATTATCGCAGCTTACTTTATTAGCTTTAGAGTCCGATACCTTTAATATTGATTTAAACAAAATTTGTGAATGTGGTGCTAACTCAAAAAAAATTTACTCCTTTGCTTCTTTGATAATGAGTAATATTATTTTAAACAACTACACAAAATTTAAAAATAGTGAATGTCATAAAAATAAAACAGATTCAAGTAAAAAAAGAAAACTAACCACTTTGAAATAGAAAAAAAATGTACCTAGGTACTAAAAATAATAATAGAGGTATGTTTTAAGGGTAGCTTTCCCGAATTCTTAGAAAGTATTTATTTTTTGAACATGATAGGTAGTTGCTAGTTGTATAGAATTGTTTGACAAGACCTTGTACATATAAAATAGATATAGGATTATAACACTTTAGAATCTAGTAATATATTTATTTAAATCAATTATTTACTGTTCTTATTTACACAAATATTTATATTATTCATTGAATTACTGTTTTTACTTTTTACTTTTTAGTACAATATGATGCATTTTGTGTGATTAATATGTACAAAATATTGGCGGAATTGAGGTTAAATAAAACAGCACCACTTGGCGGTAAGATTGCGGTGTTGCCTTTTTAACTTCATGGCTTGTAAGTGTAGAGGGCTGTGGTATTTATCATTCAAATATTCTTGTGTACTACCTATATGGTTCCAACACAATAAGTATCTTTTTCAGTTTACTTGCAAACATTTTTTCTTCTGTCTATTTTTAATTCATTGATTAGTATTAAGAAGTTTTATTCCCATGTCACATGGAGTTTTTCCCAATAATGTTAACCTGTGCCTCGGAAAACAAATATTATTATGCTCCAGAGCTGGGCAAAGCCCTCAGTAAAAGGGCTTGAAGCACTAAACCCTAAGCCCTCTATCAAAGTGCTTCAATTTCAAGCACAATTTCCTTTTTATTTTCAAAAGTGCTTCACAAGCACAAAGCCCTCAAAGTGCTTTGGGCTTGACAAGCACAAAGCTCTCAAAGTGATTTGAAAAGTGCTTGAAGCACATCAAAAGTGCTTGGGGTGCCTTGAAAAGAGCTTCAAGCTCTTTAAATGTGCTTCAAGCTCTTTAAATGTGCTTGAAGCTCTTTATATGTGCCTAAAGCACTTTGAATTTGTAATAAAATTCTCAAAGTGGCATAAGCTACCGCGTACACTCATC